ATAGTGCTTAAACTCATTCTGTACCATTAGGGCTCATAAGACTTTCAACTTGTAGCTGACTTTGCCAGTGAGGTACAGCTTTAGTTTTAAAGTAACTCACAATAAATTGTTGCATTCTCTGGATGTATTGAGATGATCCCTGATATCAACATACACAGATGGAGCTTCTGCGGCACTAAAGTGTAAGACTACTGTTTTGTCATGCCATAGTTGGTACAAAGACTTGGGAAAGAGTTTGGACACATTTCATTGCTACAAGAGTGGTCAAATTTAATATTTTTATCAGCTAACAGCCCTCTGCTGTCTGTGCCCTGTCGTGGCGAGACAGTTTGCATGCTCTAACGATCCCCAGAGTCTGGGTTGCCGAGGACATTTTTTCTCCAGCAGGTTCAACCATGCTGGACTGGTCTGTAGGGGAGGGGCCAGACAAAAGACACTCTGGCCCTCCAGGTTGGGGGGTTAGGAACAGGGCTAACAACCCTGTCCCATAAAAACACAAAATATGTTACAGAAACTGTGGCAGAGAAATCAACCATTACTATGTGTGATGGCCTTCAGGAGTCAATGACCCATATGACTGCCAGTGGTGAAAGCCAAAAGGAAGCCACTGGCATGAAGACTGAAGTACTCAACACCAAGACAAAAACCAAACTTGTTTTTTGGAACGTAGGGACAGTGTACGAAACCGGGAAGCCAGCTCAAGTCACAGCAGAGATGAAACGCTACAACTTACGCATCCTGGGTGTCAGCGAGAACAGATGGATGGGATCAGGAAGATTAACAGCCTTGGGAGAAACTTTGCTGTATTCTGGCCGGGATGATGGACAACTTCCTGAGGTTGTTGCCATCTTTTTGGAGAGGTAGTGGAGCGGTCCCTGCTTGAGTGGAAGTCAATCAGCAGCAGACGTATGAGAGCCAGACTGAAAGGGAAACACAATAATATCACCCTGATTCAGTGCTATGCTCCAACAAATGACAGTGATGAAGAAGCAAAGGACAAATTCTACCTTGCACTACAGGCGTAGTTAAGAGTACCACACCACAACCTAACTATCATCATGGGAGACCTGAATGCCAAGGTCAGTAGGGACAACACAAACAACGACAGAGCAATGAGAAGACATGAGTGTGGCACCATGAATGAAAATGAAGAGAGGCTGATGTTGATTTCTGCAATATGAACGATCTAGTCATCAGCAGAACCCTATTTCAACATTCTGAAATTCACAAGCTGACATAAGCGACAGAGTCCTGTGGCACCTTATAGACCAGGGGTCGGCAACCTTTCAGAAGTGGTGTGACGAGTCTTCATTTATTCACTCTAATTTAAGGTTTTGCATGCCAGTAATACATTTGAATATTTTTAGAAGGTCTCTTTCTATAAGTCTATAATATATAATATATATATTGTTGTATGTAAAGTAAATAAGGTTTTTAAAATGTTTAAGAAGCTTCATTTAAAATGCAGAGCCCCCCGACCGGTGGCCAGGACCCAGGCAGTGTGAGTGCCACTGAAAATCAGCTCGCGTGCCGAAGGCGGCACGCGTGCCATAGGTTGCCTACCCCTGTTATAGACTAACAGAAGTATTGGAGCATAAGCTTTTGTGGGTGAATACCCACTTCGACAAAGTGGGTATTCATCCACGAAAGCTTATGCTCCAATACTTCTGTTAGTCTATAAGGTGCCACCGGACTCTTTGTTGCTTTTTATAGATCCAGACTAACACGGCTACCCCTCTGATACAAGCTGACATGGGGTTCTCCAAATGGCAGAAATAAGAACCAGATTGACCATACGATGATCAATGGCAAATGACGACACTCACTGACAGATGTGAAGGTGAGAAAGGGAGCAGATATTGGCAGCGACCACCACCTTGTGACAGCCTCCATCAAACTAAAACTGAGAAGCATGGGTCCACCAAACAAGGTACATAGACATTATGATGTTGACAAGCTAAAATCCCCTGAAATACAGAAAGCCTTCATTCTGCAGTTAAAGAACAGGTTTCAGGTACTTGCAGACCTTGATGAAGAGGAGGGGAATGCAAATGAGGAGATCAACGAGAAGTAGGATAAAGTAACAACAATCTATAAACAGCAGTGAAGCCTGTCTAGGCTACAGGCAGAAGAGAAGAAAGGAGTGGTTTACACCCAACACATGGAATACCATAGAGCCCCAAAGAAAAAAGTTGACACAAAATCCCAGAAGCTAAAGGACAAATACCACGAGTAGTAGAGCAAGGCACACCAGGAGGTCAAACGCCTTGTGAGAGCAGACAAACGACGTTATATTGATAATCTGGCAACACAAGCAGAGGAACAAGGAACCGTCTACCAAATGACATGGCTTATCAGTGGCAAATGGGAGACACCAACAAACATTCTCATCAGGGACAAACAAGGCCACTTATGGACAACAGAAAAACAACAAGAAATGCGCTGGACAGAGCATTTCAAAGAATTGCTGAACAGGGAGCCACCTATAGAGGAAGCAAACATTCAGGAGGCAGAAGAAGATCTTGATATCAACACAGACACCCCAACTAAGAAAGAGATCATTCAAGCCATCAAATTCTTTAAAAATGGGAAAGCTCCTGGCAAGGATAACTTGAATGCAGAATTGTTCAAAGTAAATCCTGAGTTAGCAGCACCTATCCTGGCCTCTCTATTTACATCTGTCTGGGAAAGGGAAAAAGTGCCAGATGAGTGGACCAATGGGGTTATAGTGAAGATACCAAAGAAAAGAACCCAATGATTGTAATAACTGGCGTGGTATCTCACTTTTATCTGTGCCAAACAAAGGTATTGTGTAAGATCATAGTCCAGCATATATCAGAGGCAGTTGATAGCATTCTTAGAAAAGAGCAAACCGGTTTTTGAAAAGGGCCTGGATGCACAGACCAGATTTTCACTCTACGAAACATAATAGAACAATGCTTAGAATGGCTACGGCAACTCTACATAAACTTCATAGACTTTGAGAAGGCTTTTGATAGCATTCACAGGACCAGCCTATGGTGCATTCTGCGGGCATATGGAATCCCTCTCTGTATAATCAGCATCCTCAAAAGCTTCTTTTCCAACTTTACATGTAGTGTTGATCACAGTGAGCTCAGTTTTTGAAGTCAGAATAGGAGTACGGCAGGGGTGTGTCATGTCTGCAATCCTCTTCAATATTGCCATCGACTGGGTAATGCGGCGTACAACAGAAGACATGTCAAGAGGTATTAAATGGACACCCTTCTCATCCCTTGAAGGCCTGGACTTCGCAGATGATCTCGCTCTCCTATCACATACTCAACACCTTATACAAGAAAAAACAACTCGACTCAACACATTCAGCCAGCAAATTGGACTGAAAATCAACCGCAGTAAGACAGATATCATGACCTTTAATATTGGCTCACCGTCAACAGTACAGATAGAGGATCATGCTCTCACCAATGTAGAAACATTCACATGCTTGGGCAGTACCATCAGCCAGAACAGTGGAACAAGCCAGGACATCCGGAACAGAATCAGTAAAGCCAGGAACACCTTTAGGAGCTCAAATACAGTCTCTGGAAATCTTCAAAATACAACACCAAAACCAAACTCCAGATTTATCTGAGCTGTGTACTTTCAATACTACTTTATAGTGCAGAATGCTGGGGAATGAGAAAGTATGACATGTCCAAACTGTATTTATTCCATACAACCTGCCTCAGAAAAATCCTCATGACGACTGGTGCCCCCCCCAGTATTGGGGGAGGGCGGCACCAGCTAAAGGGGAGGACATGTGATCTCCCCACATGTCTTCACCCCAGCCTAGGGCCCCCGTGCTCTCCCCACCCCCACCCCCTCCATACCCCACATTACCTGTTGGGGGGATTTCTGTCCTCCTGCTGTGCCGGCTCTTTATGGCTGCCAGAGCTGGGCAGGGAGTGGGACAGAGCCACTCTTGGCTGCTGCCTGGTGCAGTGTGGCTGCTGCCTGGGAGAGTGCCTGGCTGTGGCAGCAGCAGGCTGCCTCCTGCCCAGGCTTAACTTCCAGAATAGCAGCTGAGCAAGTCAGAGCCCCCTCCACACCCAGCATGCTCAGTCGGCTCCTGTCCCCAGAAGCTGAGCCAGAGCAGGGAGCGGTGGCAGCAGCAGCCCGCTCCATGCCCAGGCTCAGCTTCTAGGGGTAGGAGTCGACTTTGAGCATGCCAGAAGCTGAGCCTGGGTGGGGGGCAGCTTGCTGCTGCCACAGCCAGGTGCTCTCCCCATCAGCCGAGACACGGCGCTGCACCGGGTAGCATCCCAGGCAATGTGGCTAAAAGAGGCTCTGGCCCCGCCCCTTCCTCTCCCCGCCCGGATCGGCTGCTGGGAGGGCACTTGACCCTTCATGATCCTCCCATGCGTCACCTCCCTACAATCTCAAACCAAGACCTATTCACACAGTGCAGCCAAGAAGATATGAGCACCATCATTACCAGGAGGCGCTGGAGATGGATTGGCCATGTGCTTCAGATGGAAACTGATTCCATCACCAGAATAGCATTAAGGTGGACACCTGAAGGCAAGCGAAAACGAGGCCACCCAAAAACAACATGGTAAAGATTGGGGCACCGCTGGGGAACCATTGAAAGACTTGCCAGAAACAGTCAGGAGTGGAGGAGCTTCGTCGCTGCTCTAAACGCCAGAGGTGTAATGGGAACGTGATGATAATGATGATAAACTAAATCATTTCAAAATGTTTTATCCGTTAAATCTCTTAAGTTGCTGCTTTTAAAATTCAAGAGCTAGACCTGTGGGAACGTGATTCAGTGACTGATCTACAGTTATCTGTTTGTTATACTACAATAGAAAGGTTACACTAAAAATAGATTTACTCTTTTCAAGAAAACATTCTTTTAAAACATTACCTGATCTGGTAACTTGACATATTTCTTAAAGTAGACATTAATGTTTTTAAATAGCAGTACAATGTGCCTGAGAAAAATGGTCTTGAATAGCCATATATTTTCTTTTTTACAGCTCCTGGTTAGATAATAGTGAAAAAAGTGCAATAAAGAAGCTGAGAAAGAGCTTACCACTTCGGGAAGAACTAAACCGTTTAAAAGATGAACTCACTCATCAGCTACAGCTCTCTGATATCAGGTAATGAAGTACAGAAGATCTAACTTAAAAGGGTCAAAACAAGCATAATTTACAATTTTGTAAGGCCACATAGACTAAAAACAAAGTAATGCAGTTAAGCTTTAAAAAATGTATTCCAGCAAAATGTCTATGTTATATGTAGTCATAAAGGCAGTACTCCACTGAATACGATTATATTTTCATCAGACTTGTATGGGACTAAAAATTTGCATTTATAATATCTGAACTAGACCTAGTCTTATTTATAAGTCAGGAGATTGTACTACCTAGTAGTATGATTGCCAATTCAGGAAAACACTTAAGCATGTGCTTCGGTTCTATTGTAGTCAATAGGACCTAATCACGTGTTTAAGTACTTTACTGGGTAAAATTGCTTTCCTGAATTGGAGCTTGAGCTTGCTTATGTAACTAACTTAGCTTAAACAACTTAGCTTCTCTTTTGATGCTGCATATGGTACTTATTGACGACCTGTGAAGACTTAGTAAAGGTATTGTTGTCCAAAATATCAGAAACAAGAGTCTATGGAGGGAATATTGTAATAGCTTTAAAAAGCAGATTCTGTACTTGGGTTTCTTTATTCCAAAATATTTCTTAGAAAATACAAGTCATTAATATTTGAGAACAAAAATGTATCTCTTCAGGGTATGTTGTGAAAGCTTTGCGTTAAATAGCTTTTAGGTTTGTTTAGTGCAGTAACGTGGAGTTTAAAGCCAGAAGTGCCCACCAGATCATCTAATCTGACCTTCTATATATCTCAAGCCACACCACCCAAAAGCCACACAGTAAACCCAACAACTGAAATTAAACTCAAGTATTTCAGCCCATAGAAGACGAGACTATTATGTGCCAAAGGCAGAAAATAGGTACACCTTGGTCCCTCCTATGACAGTGAAATGAGTGAGAAATACCCAGATAATCCTTGCAAATGACTCTTGCCCACACACTACAGGGGAGGGTGAAAAACCCCCAAGGTCCTTCCCAACCCCACATATGGTGATCAGTTAGATCCTAAGGATAGGAGGAAGAACCAGCCAGCCAGGCATTTGAGAGAGAGAATGCTTGGTGCCACCTCAGAGTCCTGGTCCTCCCTGTCAAATGTCCCTCTCCAGCCATGGCTGTCCCTGATGCTTCACAGGAGTGATATTAAGGAAACCCAGAATCCACTGGGGGGAAACGGGGCGTTGGGGAAATATTCCTTCCTGACCCCTGCAGGTGGCTGGCTAAAAACCTGAAGCATGAGCTTTTAGGAACATCAGACAAAATGGATTGAGCCCCAGGGCTGCTGCCCCTTACTGTCACAAGCATCCCCATCGTACAATCTCACTCATACATTTCTACAGCTCCCTCTTGAAACTAACTAAGTTGTTTGCCTCCACAACTCCCAATAGGAGGCTTTTCCAGAACTTCGCCCATCTCATGGTTAGGAGCTTTCTTCTAATTTCCAGCCTGAATTTGTTCATGGCCAGTTTATATCAATTTGTTGTTATGTGAACACTGCTCTTTAGCTCTTCACCCTCCCTGGTAATTTACCCGCCTTGATATATTTATAGAGAGCGGCCTTCTTTTTGTTAGCGTTAACAAGTCAAGCTCTTCCAGTATCCTCTCATAAAATTAGGCCCTCTATTCCCCTGATCACCCTATTAACTCTTCTCTGCACTTTTCTGGTTTGAATTCATCTTTCTTGAACGTGGGTGACCAAAATTGTACTCAATATTCCATATGAGGTCTTATCAGAGCCTTGTACATGGCATTAATATGTCTCTCTCTACTGGAAATGCCTTGCCTGATACATTTTTGGATCTCATTTTACCTTTTTCACAGCCACATCGTACTGGTGGCTCATAGTCATCCTGTGATCCAACCCACACACCCAGGTCTCTCTTCTTCTCTATTGCTTCCAACTGATGAGCTGCTAGCTTGTAGCAAAAATTCTTATTAGACCCTAAGTTCCTGACTTTCACTTTGTATTACTCAATTTCATCCCATTTCTGTCACTCCAGTCTTCAAGGTCATCCAGATCTTCCTGTATAATGTTCCAGTCTTCCTCTATATTGACGATGCCTCCCAACTTAGTATCATCAGCAGATTTCATGAGCGCGCGCGCGCACACTTTTTGTGCCACTCTCATTAATAAAAATATTGAAAAAGATTGTTTCCAAGACCAATCCTTGAGGAACTCCACTAGTAACCTCCCTCCAGTCCAATAGTTCACCTTTCCGCACAACCCATGGCCTTCTCCAATTTTAGCCAGTTCCTTATTCATCTTGTACTGATCCCCATCTTCCCTAATTTAACTAATTTCTCATGTGGTACCATATCAAATGCTTTACTGAAGTCAGGTATGTAAGATCTATTCCATTTCTCTTATCTAAAATAATTTATTTTCTGAAAGATCAGGTTAGTCTGATGTGATCTACTTTTGGTAAATCCATGTTGCATTACATCCCTTTAGCATTTTTTCTCCCATGAACTTGCTCTTTCCTTCACAATTTGTTCTAAAGCCTTACATACTAGTTACAGACCTGTTATTCTGACTGCCTGGATCACTTTTTTTTACCTTTCTTAAATATAGGTCTGACATTAGCTATTCTCCAGTCATATGGAATTAGCCCCGACTTTATTAAAAATGCTTGCTACTGGACTAGCAATCTCATGTGCCAGTTCTTTCATATTTTGGAATCAAAATTATCCGGGCCCCTGATCTGAGCATGTTAAGATCTGTTTTTCTTCCACCTCAGATGTGGTAATTTCCATTTCTACACACACTTTCATCAACTATAGTGCCTTCATGCACATGTTCCATATTATCATCCTTATTGAAACCCCGCAATGAATTCATTTAGTTTGAGCCATATCTAGATTATCTTTAATTTCCTTCCCATCCTCATTGCATAGCAGCCCGACTCCACCCTTCCTTATTCTATTTTTATGTAAACTAAAAAGATTATTTTAATTCCCTTTGCAAGAGTTAATTTTATCTTGATTTTTAACAATTCTAACTATTCTTACATTTTTCTAACCTCCAGATGTAGCTTTCTTTATTGATCAACCCTTTTTTCCATTCCTTATAAACTCTCAGCTTACTCCTAATAACCTTTTTGAGGTTGCTATTCATCCATCTGGTGTGGAGCCTTTCCCTACAAGCTTTTTTTCTTTGCTTGGGATGCAAATTTCAGATAACTTTTGTATAGTTGTGTCATAGGGCGAGTTCAGCCTCAGTGACTGACCACCACAACTCCAAGTCATCTTAAACACCACTATGCTTTATATTCCTTCAAAGGTCACAGCCTGGAGTGTTATTTATATACTGCTTCCAGTCAGTAGCCAGCTTCCTCACTTGCTCTGAGGAAACGGTGGAGTATTAACAGCAGCCAGTCCTGTCTACTCCTGCCTTCCTTCAGGCTCCCGACTCTCCTCCCTAGCACTTCCTTCCTATCTATTTATATAGTCCCAGCTGCAGGGGTTTCTTCCACCCAATTAGCCCCTGAGCTGTATCTTTACTCAGTTAATTGGCATGCTCTGCCAACTACCTGTCTTTCAGTCAGGTCCCAATTAATGTATACTGGTGAGGATTTGAGTGACAGGTTGCTGAGTCAACTCATGACTCATAATGCCCTGTTAGAAGTTGATTTTGAAGAAATTCCAAGCCTCCTCCGCATTTAAGTCCTTGAGCTTTTCAGTTGACTTCTTTAACTAATTCCCTTAATTTCCCAAAGTCTGCACTTTTGAAATAAAAGGTCATAGTTGACAAGCTGATTTTGATTATCCTTCCATTTAATTTAAACTTAATCAGCACATGATTGCTCAATCCAAGGTTATTTCCTAAGACTAGCTCTTCTATGAAGTCCTCACTGCATAGTAAAACCAAATCAAAACAAGTTGATAGAATCTTTCTGAACATTGAATGAAATTTGCTTGTCTGTGGTTTTTAATTTTTCTTTCATAGTCTGTTATCAAAATACTGTAATACTATATTGTTACATTTTATGGAAAGTTAACAATATTTTAATGAAAAAATGTACAAGAAAATGCTTCCTGTTCAGAAACTTTTCTAACTGAGAAGTAATTGTATCTTAATGGGAAACTGCTACTTCCACCTCTTACAGGTCAATGCTAATATGGTTGGAGGCTTTAAAAGTAAATAAAGGGCTAGATCCTCAGCCATTCCAAGCTTATGCTTGGGACATTTGAGCAGAGGATGCAGGCTCTAAGCCACCTTTTTTGTGTCCCCAATCCTGGAGCTATTGAGGCTCAAAGCAGCCTCAAAGTGTAACATGGAGTAGCTTAGGCTGATCTGAGTTATGCCTGCTGTAGTTGTCCCATTAGGGCCCTTGCATGGTACCATCCCTCTGTGCCCCTGATGCTGAATTGCTACGCTGGCTTTATGCTAACTAAGGATTCTCCTATTCTGTGGTAACAGTCAGTTTTATGTTTGAGGCAGTTTTAAGTACACTGAAAAGGGAACTGGGAAAGCTGAAGATCTGGCCCATAATTGTAAACTGTGTTAACGTAATGTTGAGGTATAGTGACCAAGAAACTTCAGAGTTTAATCACTATCTGAAACATCCTTAACTTGCCTGTTCTGTGTCAGTGTTGAGGGAATCTGAAAATGGTGAATGATTTTTTTTTAATATACATATGCTGTAATACCTGAACAGAAGGTGAATTAAAGTTAATGTATTTTTGTGGTTTTAATATAGGCACATTTTGATAGCAGCAAAAGTTATCCTAATGTCTCTTAATTAAATATTGTAAATCATAAACATCTGTATGAATGAAGCTGTGAAAAGGGCAACAAAAATGATTAGGTGTATGGAACGGTTGCAGTATGAGGAGAGATTTTCAGCTTGGAAAAAAGACAACTAAGGGGGGATATGAAATCTATATATGAAGTCTATAAAATCATGACTGGTGTGGAGAAAGTGAATAAGGAAGTGTTATTTACTCCTTCTCATAACATAAGAACTAGGGGCCACCGAATGAAATTAATAGGCAGCAGGTTTTAAACAAACAAAAGCAAGTATGTTTTTCACACAATGCACAGACAACCTATGGAACTCTTTGCCAGAGGATGTTGTGAAGGCCAAGACTATAATAGGTTTCAAAAAAGAACTAGATAAGTTCATGGAGGATAGGTCCATCAATAGCTATTAGCCAAGATAATCAGGGATGGTATCCCTAGCCTCTGTTTGCCAGAAGCTGGGAATGGGCAACAGGGGATGGATCACTTGATGATTACCTGTTCTGTTCATTCCCTCTGGGGCACCTGGCATTGCCCACTGTCAGAAGACAGGATATTGGGCTAGGTGGACCTTTGGTCTGACCCAGTATGGCAGCTGTTATGTTCTTATGAATGGATAACTTACTCTGGCTGGACATTCAAAAAACACGAAGACACTACTTTCTGCAAGATATGATACAGGAAATTTTTTAGAGATGTTTTTCCTCCTTACTTATAGTACATGCACATAAAACTTTCAATTCCAGTACAGTAGTTCCCCTAATAGCAAGCCAAATCAACCCATCCAATATATGATCTAAATACTGGGCTGAACTCTCCAGGATTCAAGGGAGAAAGGAGTCTTTCCCCCTGCTTGGCTGTAGAGCACCCGTGTAACTGAGTAATTAAGGGCTAGTTACTAGTAAGTGCGCCTACTTAACTTTATGCTGTGTGAATAACCTAAATGAAATCAATGGACATACTCACAGGCGCTGGGTTCCACCAGGCCCCAGGGTGCTCAGTCCTCCGCTCTGGCCCTGCCTCCACCCCACCCCTTTCCCCAAATCCCCAGCCTGCCTCGTCCCACTCAGTTCCGCCCCCTCCTCTGAGCGCGACTTGTCCCTGCTCCTCCCCTCTCGCCCCTCTGATTGCAGGGGGCGAGAGGCGCTGATTGGCGGAGCCGCCAGTGGACGGGAGGCGGGGGAGGGGAGAAGGCAGGCACTGGCTACCGGAGGGTGCTAAGCACCCACTAACTTTTTTCCAAGGGTGCTCTAGCACTGGAGCACGCATGGAATTAGCGCCTATATACTCACTACATAAAGTACATGTGTAAGTCTTTTTAGGAACAGGGCTGAGGCTGCAATAGACTTCACAATCCTAACCTCTTGTCCTCTTTTAAGAAATCAGTAAATTTATGAATAAAACTTTTGTACTGAACTCCCTTCTGCGTATAGAAAAAAATACAAAGAAAGTATCCCGAGAAACAAATAACTGCTTTTTGCATATCCAAGTTATAGTTTTTAGCTTTTTTTCAGTTTTTTTCCCCCATTTCACCTGCACCATCTTCAATATGGCACCCACTGCAAAAGAAATTCTACATTTTCCATTTAAATTACTTAATTATTGGTTTATATATAAAATTTGAGTAGTGTATGACTCAGACCACTTTATACACATTCCCAGTTGGATTATTTGCTATTTATTACTCTTCAGTGACTGTGATTTTTGTTGCTATGAATTACTGCTTTATTGTAAAGCTCTTAGCACACTTTGGGCACTGCCTTACGTTTTAAAAAAAATCCTTTTATAAGACTGAGTGATATATTCTCAAGTATATTTTTCTTTAGGTGGCAAAGAAGCTGGGGTATTGCCCATCGTTGTAGCCAGCTACACAGTCTAGGTCGTTTAGCTCAGCAGAGCCCAGAAGTATTAAGGAACGTTAAAGGTATATTTCCTATTACTTTTCTCTTTTGTGTGTCATGGTACAGTAATCCTCTAAAGATAAGCATGAATTTTATGGTATTCCTCATGAAAGCATAAAACAACCTGCCTGAATTACTTAAGAAATTATCAGTAATACATAGTTTAAAATTCAAGTTATTTTATTTCATAGTTATTTAAAATATTGACTATTGTCTAGTAACTGACTACAACATCAGGATTTAAAAGCACTTGCTTATTTCAGCTTGAAGTCTTCATATAGACTCATTTAAAGACTGTACTTTCAGATATTCAGAAAACTACGGTATTCATAATATCAATCTTACAGTAAATAAACATATCTGTTTATATATGTTTAATAAGTGAAAAATAGTCACATACAACATATCAAAGTGATCACATAATATAATTATAAATATGATTCTTCCATTTCTTGTTACTGTCACATTATATAGTTGACATTCATTCATATTAGCCATATTAAACGCAAATGCTTAATGAATACCTCAAAAGAGGTTTGAGTATTGGAATACCTGAAAGTACACTCCTCATAAATAAGCAGCCATAGATGGTGTGTGTTTGTGTGTTTGTGTGTTTGTGTTTTTGTGTGTGTGTGTGTGTGTGTGTGTGTGTGTGTGTGTGTGTGTGTTGAATTTTTTTTGTTTGGCATTTGTAGACTGTTAACCCTTGCTTCAGGGTCCAGGATTTTTAGTCTTAACACAAGTCAACTCCATGCTTCCAGATACTGAGTTGAACTATATTTGCCAGAGAAACATTTAGGTATGAGGGCGCAGACACTTTAGAACAGGGGTGGGCAAACTTTTTGGCCCAAGGGCCACATTTAGGTATAGAAATTGTATGGCGAGCCATGAATGCTCACAAAATTGGGGTTGGGGTGCAGAAGGGAGTGAGGGCTGTGGATGAGGCCAGAAATGGGGGGTGGGGCCAGAAATGAGTTCAGGGTGTGGGAGGGGGCTCCAGGCTGGGGCAGGTGGGATGGAGTGCGAGGCGTAGGTGAGAGCTCTGGGGTGGGGCTGAGGATGAGGGGTTTGAGATGTAGGAGGGTGCTCCGGGCTGGGACCGAGGGGTTTGGAGTGCAGGATGGGGATCAGGGCTGGGGCAGGGGGTTGGGACATGGGGTGGGGGGGTGAGGGCTACGGCTAGGGGTGCAGGCTCTGAGGTGGGGCTGGGGATGAGGCGGTTGGGATGTAGGAGGGTGCTCCAGGCTAGGACCGAGGGGTTCAGAGGGTGGGAGGGGGATCAGGGCTGGGGCAGGGGGTTGGAGCACAGGAGGGTGGCTCAGGGGTGTAGGAATCTGCTTACCTCAAGCAGCTTCCAGAAGCAGCTGCATGTCCCAGCTCCGGCTCCTACACAGAGGCACGGCCAGGCGGCTCTGCTTCGCGCTGTCCCATCCACAGGCGCCATCCCTGCAGCTCCCATTGGCCGCAGTTCCCGGCCAATGGGAGCTGCGGGGGCAGCGTGCGGAGCAGAGCCCACTGGCTGCCCCTACACATAGGAGCCGGAGCGGGGACATGCCGCTGCTTCCAGGAGCTGCATGGAGCAGCCACTGACATTGCCCCGCTCCGGCACTCCAGCTGGGAAGCAAGTCCCAGACCCTGCTCCCCAGCGGAAGCTCGAGGGCCAGATTAAAACAGCTGATGGGCCGGATCCAGCCCGCGGGCCATAGTTTGGCCACCCCTGCTTTAGAACCTATGAGATTCCTATACACAACCCCCTTATTCTTATGGCCCATGTGAACCTGGGCCTAATGCCCCATCTCTTTGCATTCCTTCAGAGAAGTATACATGTAGGAATCGAGATGCATTGTCATCAAAGTGCCCCAGATCAACTCACAAGGGTAGCGATGGCTGCTCTTCAAGAGGATCCTTTGGATTAGAAATGGGTGAATCATTAGGAAGTTATTTTCAGTAAAGGATTAGAAGCTCCTTCCTCCATCTCTAGCTCTCCTGACCTAGATGACACTAGAATCAGCTTCTGTCTTACCTCTTGAGGAATACAAGTTATTTAAGGTTTATTGGATAGACAGGTGAAAGAACAACATTTGCCTGTTTACACTATGGAGGAGAAATCCCACAAATAGTTATACAGTCCAGACAAAAGACTCTAAGATAGCTTTTTCTGTCAGAGGGACTTCTGGAACTACGTGAGATCTGTGGCTCTCTGCTTCATCCATGCCACCAGTATCCAAGAAGAATGATAAACTCTAACAGGTGCCCCAGACAGGACAAAAGTACTTCTACCAGAACCAGATACTGGGTTCACTTGTGGTCTCTGCTGCCCTGGAAAAGAGTAAGTTGGTGCAGTAATTATAATCTTTCCTTGGGGACAAGAAGATAAAAAGATGGATCACTAACTCTCAGAATACCTAATTACCTGGCCAGTAGGCTTGTAAGAACTTTTTTTTACTTGGGTCAAGTAATCTTCTCTTGTAGATCATATTCCAGAAGACCTACATTCTGAAATCAAATCTCTTGTCCAAGAAAGATTGAGCATCTCTGAACACTTTCAGGTTACCATATGACTCCTCTGATACAGCAGATTGATCTGTGGCAATAACTGTTGGCCAGCACACATGACATCACACTTAGTCTTTCTCAAGATTCTCAGTTTTGAATAATTATTTATTCACTTGAGAACTCACTTATTTAATCAAAAGACAGGTGAGACTGTCCCACATTGTTCAACCTTATAAAGAACCTTGGAAAGGTAATGTTTATCAATGAGAAGTATCAATATGCTAATATACGATTGTGTATATAATTATTCCTTGGACCCTGCAAATTTGGCCTCTGCCCTAGATGAATACTCAGATGATTAACTGTGTCCGCAGTCTCAGCCTTCTCTCCCACCCCCAGGAATAATTACTGTCTTACAGGTAGGTAGAGGTCATTGTGAGAATATTGGGAGTGTTCCTTTCAACTATGTCTTTCTCATGGAAAACTAAGGCCAGGTCTGGACTAGCACTTCTGACAGCAAAACTTTTGTCACTCGGGGTGTGAAAAAACACCCCTCCCCCCCCCGAGTGACACAAGTTTTGCCAGTGTAAGCACTCGTGTGCACAGCACTATGTCAGTGAGAGAGAAGGCTGTCAAACAGCACAGAGGGTGTGTAGGATTGTATAAGGATACCTGGGGTCAGATATCTGCATAAAAGTTCACCAAAAGGTAGCATGTGAGGTCTCTACCGAGAGCCAGTTATCCACTGGTTGTCATAATCCATTGTGAAATGTATGTACATATAATATTTAAGAAGTTATGTATCTATACTGAAAATTATGTTCTTAAGGCCTTGAACTTAAGGCAGGTCACCAGGAGATGATGTACCATGGAGATGTGCCTTTCAGGAAGGAGGTAACAGATACCTGTCTCCCTGTCTGGCCTAGGATGACCAGATGTCCCGATTTTTATAGGGACAATCCCGATTTTGGGGTCTTTTTCTTATATAGGCTCCTATTACCCCCTACCCCCTGTCCCGATTTTTCACACTTGCTGTCTGGTCACCCTAGTCTGGCCATTTGTGTATTGTATCCTTCATGCTGCATGCTTATTTGCATACTGAGCCGGGTGCGAATTGAGAGATTGGAAAATCTACAAGAGAGGAAAACTGCAGGAAGAAACTAACAGCAGGGGGGTGTCCTCTTTATGAATAAAGACAAAGGATTGGTCTGGTATATTTTGGAGTGCAGAGACACCCTGAAAATCCTTCATCTAGGACGCAAACTGACAGCATGTGTGTCTCATGAAAAAAGGGTCACAGCCAACCTAGCTGTAAAGCACTGCAAGGATTTTGGGTGAGCAATACTCTACTAGACATGAGAGTATCTTTGTTAATTAAGTCTGGCTCTAGATTGCGTGCTATGATTTTATTTAATATGTAACCTCTGGTTTACAATATTTCTACTTGTTACTATTTGAATCGCTATGCTTTGTTAAATAAACTTGTATTTGATTTCACTGTAAACAAACCTAAACACTGCGAGTTAAGGGGAGTGGTGATTTGAGGTGCAACTGGTAAGCTGGGATGTACAGTTTTTTTGGAAGCAACAAATCAGTGAATACTGCAAGTGGTCAGTAGATCGGGGGCTGGACACTCCACTTGGAGGGCTCGAGGGCTGGAGCATGCCTATCACTAACCTGCAGAGTGACAGTGGCCTGAGAGGCCTAGAGGGGAGTGCCTATATTGCCAGTGGCTGATAAGGTTGGGGAGTTGATCCATGGTAGGCACAGACAAGGCTTCTTCACTCTAAGGGCAAGTGGTAGAGAGGTGCCTCACAACCCTGGGTGCCCCCCCGGGAAATGTTATAGTGGTGATCTGGGCAATATTTACCATATTCAGCTTAAAGTTACTTTATTTAATACAAATAATAGTGATCTAATTATTGTTTCTTGAGTGCATACAGTGTTCTGTGGGTTGTTTAAATATGGTATTGTCCAAATATTGATAGTTGTCCAAAAATAGTCTATAAGATAAGACACTAAGTAGTGAAACTACACAGGGGAGGGAAGGAAAATACTAGGTCAAGTTTCGTATAGAAAAATCCTCGAATTTAAGCTTTCAGAACGAGAGTTTCCAATTGATGGGAGTAAAGCTTCTACTTATTTTTGTCTGCTGAAATGATTTACTGTTGGTGAAATGCAATAATATTGTTAAGCTTACATAGTTGTGGAAAGTGACTAAAAACTGTTTCATTATTAGGACACACAGTAGTATTCACGGACTGTTCAGGTATGAGTGCAACAGGCCATGTCATGCTAGGCACAATGGATGTTCACCACCACTGGATCAAAGTAAGAGAATTTCAGATAAAGGATAGTTAATATTTTTCTTAATTTAGTTAATGGTGCCTTGTATAAATGACTTATTTTTAAAAGGTTTATAACCAAAATATTAATTGCTACAGGTAACTGATAGGTAATTTAATGCAATGCCTATAGTTACTATGTTCAGAGTAACTTGATACTTGCATTCTAAACCGAATCCTTTGCGGTAGATGTTAATAATAACCATAATCTTTATGGTTGGGTTTTTATTGCAGTTTCTGCTAGTAAATCAACTCCTGGTCTAATACTAAGGGTGAACAAAATTGGCTTTTTCGCAACTTAAAATGCAACATGATTACACACTGGTGAAATATTTCTTCATCCCTAAAATGTCTCAACTAACCAAAAAAAAAAAACCCACTACTACTGGGAACTCAATGGGAGTTTTGCTATTTATTTCAGTGGAAGCTGTGTTGATCACAAACTCTTTTTGCAGCATCTACTAAACTACTCTTTCTGTACCCAACACTCCATCTTGTTCATTAACTAGCCACCTTAGACTGAAAGAATCCCTTTTTGTGTCTCCTTTATTTACACATTTCTGTAGGTATTTCAGTGTTTGTGTTGCAAACAGGCTGTGGCAAACTCTATGGCATCTTTTTAATAATAATAATATATAGTTTCCAAAGAACTATAGAGAGTAATCTTTTAACATAATGCACAGATACCACCAGGATATCACTTAATGAAATGTCTGAAAATATTTGTCACTTCATTCAAAGATGATTTTCATATATTTCATAGTTCCAGTGAATTTAAATTTAGCAATGTACAGTTCACTTAAATGAATTGTAGGCGTTGAAGAGGAGATTTACATAGGGCATCTGCAGAATTATCACTCTTTGCACCAATGAGTTTAGTTCAGTATTGTCAGTTCTTGGCCCACATAAGTAAGTAGCATTTGGTCACCTGAGAAGTCACTCCTTTTAAAGGACTTGCATAAAAGGAGTTAAATGTGGATAAAATTCAAAAAGGAAGAAGGAGAGGTGGGTGGGTGAGTTATCTTGTTTGGAAATTTACAATGCTGTAGTGCAGGACCATAAGATTCCTATCTTACATCCTGCAGTTAACATTGTAGTCAACTAATCAACACAAAATTCTGTAGCAGATGATTAGTTCCTTGTCTATATAAGCTCAGTGGAGTGAGAGGTTTCTGTTAACTCTCTCTTTCCTGTTTTGTTAATATGAATGATTTATATCTTTGGTAAATTGAGAAATTGGAATTAAATGCAAAATTCATTCAAAAGCGCATTGAATAGAAAAAGTTTGAGAGAAGGTGCTTTGGATGTTCACTTTTTTAAATAGAAGCTGCACGTTAAGATTCCAAACTACCACCTTGTCTAATTAAAAAGAGAAATTACAGCTTCTAATGATTTAGTGTCTTAAATGTATTTTTAAAAATTGAGTAGGAAGCTGATGTTTTGAGACTTGAATAGGATAATGTGTGATTTAAAGTCTTCAAGTTCTTGAAAGGTAAATTCACTTTCTCTTTTGAGATATTGTAGTTAAAACTAATGAGAAATTGGCCAGCATAATTAAAACAACTTAAAATAACTTTGGAAGTCACCTGCTTTGTCATCATATGCAAAAGGTAACAAATGCATTACCTGTATAATCATATTGGACCTCCTGCTGCAAATTATCATTGAAATTGCAGCTTTCACTTTGACTTCTTCATGATGGAAATAATGCAACATTGATGAAATTGCTAAATTAGCTGTCCATTCTGAGGTATAATCACTGTTGGCAAGATCTGCTTTCATTCTTACCTGATCAGCGTTTGCTGTTTGGAAGGTCTTGTCTACAGCCAAACTTCACCAGTTGAACTGAATCTCTCATGATTAAACCAATCCTAAACCAAAATAAAAGTACACATAGTCTTGCACTGATTTAACTAAATTGGTTTAAAAACACACCTTTATTTAAACCAGAGCAAATCTGTATGTAGACAAGATTGTACTTCCACTTTAGTACCACTGAGCGTTTGTCACTGTCTTTTCTTTTGAAACTATTCTCTATTCAATCAAGCTGATAGCTCAGACTTTTTGCACAGAAGGAAGAGAGAGATCCTTCAAATCACACTGCAGCAGGGTATGCTGATGCCTGTATGAAATTCTAGTATATGTTGGCATCAGTACATCTACAGCTAAAACTTTTTCTTTCTCATTTATGTGCATGTGCACACTTGAAGAATTTCAATGTGTATAATTAATGTTGTATATGTGCTATTTTATCTATAGTACAGATAATTCATAGGCCATGTCATACTAGTCATCTCATTTAGTATATCATGGTAATGTGTATAATAATGGGACACAAACGGTCATAAGTTGTTTTATATATAAATACACAAAAGTTGTGAAACAGGGTACACACACACACCAGTTTAGCTCCCTAACAGTCATGCCCTCTAATTCTTCATCCACAAGCACACACCTTACTATTACCACTTCTGCTGTACACTATGAACCATGCACATGGGGCTAGAAATGCAGTGAGAGAACAATTTTTAATCTGTCAGCAGTTGTGTACGATCCCTCATGTCAGTGGCTGTGCATGAATGCTACTTTGTAGGATAAAATCCAGCAAAAAAGCATAACTCCTCATAGAGATTCCATGTAACCCTCCTCTCCCCCCTGACTCCCCAAAACAACATTGTCTGTTCACCCAGCCCTGCCAATCTTGTTTGTGTTCCCAGTGCATAACTTTCAGTTGTAACATTTAGATTCTCTGTTTGCATCGTTAGATACTTCATTTTCTTTAGGGTTCCTTCCGTTGTGAATTAATAAGCGCCTAATTTCTTGGAGAGATTTTTATCACGTGTTATATGTAATTATAGGCAATGTATTTTTGTGTGTGCAGATTTTTGAGAGATTGCCTAGCTATTATAAACTTCAAAAGAAGATGCTGCTTTTGGAGGACCGTATAAGTCATCTTCTAGGAGGCATACAAATAACATACATTGAAGAGCTGCAACCACTGTTAACTCTTGAAGAGTATTACACCACTCTTGATGCTTTCTATAATAGATTGCTTAACAGTAAACTATCTTTTCACCCTCGTAGTCTGCGTGGCTTGCAAATGATTCTAGAAAGGTAAGTGTCTGCAGGATAGCTGCTTCTGTAAAGCATTTTGGTCATTTTACACTCTATGCTGATTATGTATTGCTCTTCTTAATATTACAAAGTCTCATTTGCTGCAGTATTGTTCCTTTGGCATTTTCACATTCCCTATTGGTTGTAATATATTTTACATTTTTAATGTAGCTTCAGGAAATGTTAACTGCCTGCATCGAGTTAATTAAGACTGCACAACCTGGAAACAATATGCACACATTACAACTTACTAGGCACTATCAATCCTGTTTGTAGTTATGGAATCAATATGATCTGTTTCTAAATGATGCAACTGTGTCAAACTGTATCTCTTGAGTTGGAGAGTGGTTAGCTAGAAGGAAATCATGCACATCCAGTGAGGATAGCATTTTTGTCTTTCTAAACTCATCTGCACGGTATATAGCATTGAAGAGATTGAACAATCTGTCAAGCATATGAACAGCTGTTACACAGAGATACAAGTATGTGCATCTAATAAGCCAGTGTAGTTCAGTGAGGGTAGAAGTGCCTGCCCAGGGCATATGTATTTAGGCTTTGTTTATGTGACTAAGATAATGTGCTAGTGCTAAGAGAGTACTTGGCTTGAATTCATTTCAGAGCCAGCTTTACATCCACGTATTGTGCTAGTAAGCTCATTAGACAGGTTGAACACAGGATTCAAGAAATGAAGTTGCAGTTGTTTTGTAAGGGTTCTGCCAGGACTGCTAAATGTAAAATTTTAACATATCTTAAAATTGCTAATTTAATGGAGAAAGTCCTTTGAAATCTAAATCTTTGTTTAAATCTCTGAGAAATTATCTGAAAAAAGTGAGTTTTGTGAGTCAATAGTTTTGTCTGCAGCAGGAAACTAATATGCATCTATTGAGTTGCTTCTGCTGATCCACACTTGAAATTTTAAAAAATATCAGAACACCTAAAATAACATTCTGTACTCATGCCTCAAACCTTTACCAAAGAATGATTTAGAATTTATTGATCAGGTGGGATTTTTTTATCCTTAATTCCTCATTCTGTTATCCATGACAAATATTTTAGTACACGAAGAAGTGATAAGATACGTCTATTTTGACTTGCATCATGTTTCATTACAGTGATAGGTATGCTCCAAACTTGCATGAACTTGGGCATTTTAACATCCCAACAATGTGTGATCTAGCAACCCTTCAGTGGTTTATTATTACCAAAGCACAGCAAGCAAGAGAGAATCTGAAAAGAAAGGAAGAGTAAGTATTCTCAGCAAGTTTGTACACTAGCTCTTGTGTTTCTCTTCTACTTCTTGTATTACTGAATTATTTGTTTTACGTGTATAACAATACGAGAACTTTGAGGATATATAAAAGGGAGTTAACTTTTCCCTACAAAAGTGTCTCACCTTTTCCGCCACTGTGTTCTATCTGTTTTACCCAACATGAATGCTTGTCTCTCTAACCAGTAGTTGGTCCAATAAAAGATATTACCTCACCCAACTGTCATTTGTTATAAACTGCTGCTCAGCTGACTACTTCCTTATCAGTTTACATAGCAGCTATATTTCATTAGAAAATGAAAGATTTGAGATCATGAAACTTTCTCTTGATGATTTTACAATAATCTTGCTGAAGTATGCAGAGACTCAATAATTGCCACAATTGAGCATTCTTTATTGAATATGAAAATATTTTATGGTACATACAAGTTTTTTAAAGGTTTTAAAAATCTCTCTTTATGGTCCTGAATCCTTAATATGGACTCCAATTAGAAATAAATATCTTTTAAAACAGCTGAAAATTTTCCTCTTTTTTACTTATTTGGCAAGACCTGAATTCAGAGTTAGTGTTAGTGAAATCACAAGCACCTAATGCAGCATAAGGATGCAGCTCCCTTCACTGTTCGGGAGCTTGCAGTATAATCAGCACTTCAGAAGAAAATAAGAACCCAGAATTTTTGAATACCAATCTAACCAATTAAAATGGATCTTTAAGGACCCAAACCTGCAGCTGGAACAATGCAGGAGGCTGCCTCTGATGCTCATGCAGAGTTCCAGGCAGGTGCAAGGGGCTGCCTGCACTAATCCAGTTGCAGGATCATGGCATAAATGTGTAATTTTTAAGGCCTGCCTTACACTTAAAAATAGATAGACGTAGCTACACTGGTCAAGAGACCATACATACACCCCTTACCAACGTAGCTCTGCTGACCTGCCCCAAAGTGTAGATGCATCTATGTCAATGGAAAAGTACTTCTGTCATTATAGCTATTATCATCTGGGGAGGTGGTCCTGCATCAATGGAAAAATACCCTCTCTTGGTGTAGACTGCACTTGCACTGTATAGGATCATGTTGGCATAGCTACAGTAACATAGCTATATTGGTATAGTTTCCATAATGTAGACACATCCTAAGTCTGCACACCTATCCTGTTTATTATCTGGCTCTTAAGCACAGTACATGTGAAACTTTCTTTAAAAATAAGAAAGGGTTTCTGTTCTCTGATTCTATGGGCTGTTTCTTTGCATTCTCTTTAGGATTATATTAAATGAACTATATATCATCCCATATAGGCTATGTAAAAGTGTTTTAGCAATACAGAATTTAGAATGGCTCAGTTTGTTTCATTTATCTGTACCAACGCTGACAGATTTGTATTACATGACAGCTTTTTAAAACTAGAATTCTCAAATGTGCATACATACTAGCTTTTTCTTTAAAGAACCTGTATTTGTCAGTTGGTTTATTCTTATTCCTTTTTGTCTAAGGTGAACTGACAAATCATTTCATTTGCTAAGTCCTGAGTTAAAGATTCTGTATTTCTCTTGCAACAGTAAACTATATTACTAACACCTAAAATAGAGCAGGTGGCTACACTAATCTTTGTTTGATGTCATCCAGTGTTTTAGGTCACCTGCAGAATACTGAATATGGGGTTCGGTAGGTGGGTACAGGAGGAAATTATTTTTGTACTTTCAAGGCTAGTTTCTTAATGTTGACTCAATATCTCAAAAAGGAACAAACATTTTTATCTCTAAGATGCCTTGAAAATGAAGTCTCATGATCACATAACCACAAAATGCTCTTCAAATAAGTGAGTCAGTAATGTTTTTAAAATTTGGTCTCCTTTTGTAGGTATGCAACTTGGCATAATCACTTGCACACACAAAGTTTGCATATTTGTACACAAAAACATTAGTTTTTACAAGTTCAGAACTGTCACACTATATCTACACTTGAAAAAATTGAAACTAAATGCACACTATATAAATATTTGTCTTTCAAGGACATTATTTTTTTTTTAAAGGCCCAAGCACTAATTTCATCATTGTATTTGGTCCTCATATTTAGCACTAATTTCTAACTTTTTAAAATATACTAGGTTGACAGTGATGGAAAAAGAGCTAATCAGTGCTTCCACTGAAAAATTTTCTCTGAAACAGCTGTATAAGGAACCAAGTATTTCCCATGCACAGATGATAGATTGTTGTAAGCGACTGCTGGAAGAATCGCTCCCATACCTGCAAGGTATGCACCTCTGCATTTCACACTTTTACTCAGTGTTGCAAGATGGAGACCTCTGTATCCCTTGGAACTGGAAAAGTTGAGGCCTGTCTAATAATCAGAGGAACTGTCTATTTTCTCTGAGGCTATAAACATGAATTATTTTCTTTTAGAGTAAATTATTTAAACATGTATTTTGATATCCGTATTCTAACTAATCCAAGAACTTTCTTTTTAATTGCTGCTCAGAAAGTAGAACTTCAGTTCTAGACAGCTTGCTGAATAATGTACATTATTGCCTGTTCATGCCTAAAAATTCTGTACGGTTTCCATACTCCTCTACAAGTCCCATCATCGGGAAGGGGTAATGAAAGGGCATTTTTGATAGTTAAACAAAACTTTTGAATTGGATTTGAAGGTTACAAAAAGAGTTTTGGTTTGTTTTTCATATACATGAATATTCCAGGATGGATTTTGTTAAGTTCATAGAAATTGTACCTCTAAAGCCAAGCACTATGTACTATCTAAAGTAGGTAATTAACTGGATTCAAAAATTAAGAAATATCTTGTCAAAGTAGTTTTAGGGGCGGCAAAGGCAGTAGAAGTAATTCTAGAGTTCTTCATATATCATTAATTATCTGGTGCCAATATTGTAGTTACATATTGCTGTATATCTTACTGTATAAGAAATATAGAAGGAAAAATCCATCAGTGTTTTTATTATGCAGATAGGAACAGTACTTTGAACATTTGTTTAAGAGGAATTTATTTTAAATGTCAATCCAATATCTGCCCATTGTAGTAGGTGTTTACACTTTCAAAATGACATCCTCTTGGTAAATATATCTCCAATCTACATTATTGTTACCATAATTTGTTACTGGAGTATAAGATGCATCAATTGTTTTTAAGTACACTGTAGCTACGGGCATGATTGTGAAACTCTTACTCACACTGGTGAGCACTGATTTGCATGACTAGTCCCGATGAAGTCTAGGGATGGTAGAAGTCAGTGTCTGTCTGATTACTCATAACAGTAAGTGCTCACTAATGTAAGTATG